AAATATTTTAAATTATTGATTAATTATTTATTAATCAATAGATGTGTATCACGAAGCCTTTCGTTAAGTTAGTTACTCGATCCTGCGATTCGATTATTTAACTTTGTGTTCGCAATGTTAATCATATTTAAATTATCGAAGAGTCGAACGACAAAATACCAGAAAAAATATATTTAACTTTATATTTAATTTAAATTTAATTTAAATTTAAATTTTTAAAATAAATATTATTAAAGAAATAATTATTGCTAATAAATAGCATGGTGTAGGGGTAGGGATAGCAACAAAATAATAATTTATTATTTGGGACTTTTGTCACTATACGTTTCTCTTAAATAAATGGAATAAAATTTAATTAAAATTAAAAAAATTAATTACGTGAAATACGCGTTTTGAAATTTATCGTCGCGATATAATTAACGTATTATTTAAGATATACAAAAGATAATTAATTATTTATCATATCAAATTATTTCCCGATACTTGATTTCACGATCGCATTTCAAAAAAGAATTTGACGGAGTGTCTCGCACTCTACTGCCTTACTGTTTGAGTGTCGCCGTGTGAATGATAAGATCGTAAATCGTAACACGTTAACAATAGCTAATGTTTACGCCACCAAAACCGAATACTATATTATTTCGCGACCAAAAATATTTTGCGTGATGTACATACAAGCGGAATAGTAAATTATACAAGAGTATTTTAAATTATAGATCAATTATTTAATAAACGATTAATATATCACAGAGCTTATCGTTATGTTAATTACTCGGACTTGCGATTCGATTATTTTATTGCGTGTTTTCAATCCGAATCATATTTAGATCGTCAAAAAGTCGAACGATAAAGCATTGGACAAAATATATTTAATTTTAAGTATTTTTAAAGAAATAATATTGTTGCCTAGAGAGAGAAAGAGAAAACGAGAGAGAGAGAGAGAAAGAGAGAGAATTAATTATTAATTGTATCAAATTATTTCCCGATATTTGTCGCGATCACATTTAAAAGAGAAATTTGACGGAGCGTCTCGAACTGCTACAATTCTATTCAAGTATCGCCGTGCGAATGATAACAAGGCCGTAACACGTAACAATAACGCGCTATTGTTTACATCACCAAGGCTGCATACCATGTTATTGATAATTCGCAGCCGAAAATATTTGCGTATTATGACGTATATATAAGCGAAATATTAAATTATACAAATATTTTAAATTATAGATGAATTATTTAATAAACAGTTAATATATTATACGGAGCTTATCATTATGTTAATTATTCGGACTTGCGATTTGACTATTTTATTGCTCGTTTTCAATCCAAATCATATATAAATTATCGAAAAATCGAACGATGAAGCATCGGATAAGATATAATTGAATTTTAAGTATTTTTAAAGAAATAATTATTGCTTATAAAGAGAGAGAGAGAGAGAAAGATCGCGACAAAACAATGATTTTCAATTTTTATTTCTGTCAATTCGATTCTTGATTAAATGTGTATACATCATGTGAAATACGCGCCTCAAGATTTATCATTGCGATATAATTACATATTTAAGATATGCAAAAAATAATCAATTATTTATATCAAATTATTTCCGGATATTTGTCACGATCGCGGCTGGAAAAGGAATTTGACGGTGTCTCTCGCGCTCTACTACCTTACTGTTCGAGTGTCGGCGTGCGAATGATAACAAGGCCGTAATACGTAAATAATAGCGCCCTATTGTTTACGCCGCCAGACCGAATACCATGTTATTGATAATTCGCAGCCGAAATTATTTTGCATACTATAATGTATATACAAGCGGAATATTAAATTATACAAGTATTTTAAATTATAGATGAATTGTTTAATAAACGATTAATATATTATATTATTAGACAAAGAAAGAGAATAAGATGAAAGAAAATCTAGAAAAATAAGCTTAGGGAGGAAATAACATAAATTTAAAAATTATTACAGAAATTTAGTTATCAAATCATGTTATTAGATAAAAATTATTTAGACTAAACGGCGTTTTTATTATGTCAAACTTATATTTTATATGTACGTCATTGTGCGTTATACTGTATATACTGTTTAATGTAATACTAATATTTATGTAAAACCTCTTTCATCCAAAGCCGAAGGAAGATAAATACATATCTATCTATATATTGAAGAGTGAATTTCCTTTTCATTATGCTATGTCGAATCGAGTAAACGTATATAAAATTTGGCTTGTGCAATTTTTCAATAGTAATTTTTCAACGTGTGCAATTTGCATGATATATTGCAGAGTAACGTTCTCGACTTGTTGATTGTCGATCATAGATCAGTGAACACGAGGCCATCCTGCGACATATTGATTGCATCAATCTTATTCGAATAAAATATACAATACAATTTGTATTACAAACATAGCAAACGCGTGACGAAGAGAAAACGTGCACAGAAAAGAGAGAGTTAACCGAGAGTCGATATCGGCATTTGGTTTAACCGCGTATGACCTCGATCTCCGATCCGTTGACTCTCCTTTCACTTTAAAAGTGCTACTCCTATAAGCACTCTTTCTCGCATTGGTTTGGCACCAAGACATATTCATTTCGTAATAATATTTCAGTTTATCCTAGAACGTTGATCGCGGTAAGTTATCTCCCACCGGCTCTCTATACGTTTTACTTTCATCTAAGTCTGAGAACGGAGTCGCATCCATTTTTGTTAAGACGAGCTCTTTCTCTACTTTATAATTAATCTAGCCAGTTTAACACGATTATTCAACAATATTAATTAAAAAATATTAATTAAAACGTTGAACGTTGCACGCGATTATATGTCACAATTTCGCTTTTAGATTTTACTTTCGTGCAATTTTAAGGGGTTTTGGAACAGTTAGTAGATTGAACAGTTTAATGTAAAAATATAAAATACGCGAGTGCAATACTACGCATGTGGATAGAACCAGTGATAATTTGCAGTGTGAATTTGGTAGAAAAACAAACTTGTGATAACAAACAATATCGTTATAACAATACTTTTAGTGTGTCGCAAAATTTGTGCAAATAGATTGTGTCAAATTTTTAATTTATTATCAGAAAATAGTAATTTGATTTGTCTGTGAACTTTGTTTAGTTGTCAAGATGTTATATTGGTCTACGAAATTGTTATGCAAATAACAACATAAAAAAAAACGGGTTTTTTTTTCTTTTTTATAGTAATAAATAATAATAAAAATTAACAATCTAATAGATCGATGTTATCCTATATAACGAACAGATCATGTCATGTTCGGAAGATTAATTTTTGTTTATGTTCGATTACAGAATATCCATGAAAGCTAAGTCATGCATTGATTGAACACAAACAATTGGCACATATGCAGGAATTTCCCTTTCAAAACAATGACAACGATAGTGAAAACTGCAGTCATGCGGATACTGCTTTTGCTCATTTTCTATGAAAGTAAATGTGTGATTCATTTGATTCATATGCGACATTTTTCTTTCAAATAAAAATAAAAATAAAAATAAGAATTATAAAAAAAGCAATCTTTTTATAGTTAAAAACTGAGCAATTATCAAGATAAAATCATGTAATGTGTTAATAATAACTTCGTTGATTTTCACAGAGTGTTCTGCTTATATTTGTTTATACGTGAGAATCAATATATAAAAAAATTTACAGATGCAACAAGTTTGATTATACCAGAAGAGCTGCCGACAATACTTTCTCTCATCTATTCAAATATTGCACCCATAAAGAAAGTTAAGTAATTAATTAAGTAATTTTTTATCTTGCATGACTTAAGCTTCTTTAACGTATTTAAATTTCTAAAAAATTAAAAATATTTTTATACCTCTTACATTTTAGTTAGATTTTATATAGTTACATATTTTATGCATAGGCCTAAAAAAATTTCATACATTTTATATTGAATTTTTTACTGAAGATAGATTAGTCTGAAATAGAAACGTTTGCGTTCATTATTGTGTCATTATTTGCATCATTACTTTTACGTCATAACTTTTTTGTGATTCGTGATATGTTTTGGTTTTAGTATTAAATATTATTGTTGTAAAATCTATTTCATTAAGATTCTCGCGAATCGTTTAATTTGATTCAATATATTGCATGTATATCTGCTATTTGCTTCTCGAAACCGAACTTTATTTGTTTATTTTCATTAGTGCTTTTTCGTTATTTTAACAAAATAAATTTACAGGAACCGATTCCAGACTTGGTGTAGGTTTTCGATTAGGTGAGCATGCCGATTTTCAGATTCTCATTGAGTTGGGTCCACAAACTGAGACAGATAAGATAGGTACATCTAACGATGCTAAGAAACGACGTGACGTAAGAGTTTTTACAATTTTTAAATTGTATGTATATCCATATCACATAACTCGTAAATTGAATTTAAAAAGTTTTATTCGTAAATAGGTGATGTTTGATGCCGCAATGAGAGGAGAGCTAAGATCATTCGCACAACAAGTAGCCAAATATCAAATGAAACGTAGAATCGAAAAAGAAATGGATAAATTTAAAGCAATGGAGGGGAAATTTAAAAAGAATCAAACGGAAAAAAAACAGGACGATGAAAATGTAAATAAAAGTTTTTGTGTCTCCAATTTGTTAATTGTAGATAAATTTTTACATAAGACACACATATTATATAATATATTTAATATATATCATATTTTTAATCATATCATATAAAATTATTTAGTTTAAGGTTTCTGGGTACTCGCCGCGGCTATATTGGATTCGTGACGTCAGAGGCGAGAATGCCACGCTAAGAATTCTTGCGTGCCATTTTTAAATAAAAAGATATTTTGATGAAACAACATTACAGATCGCTTTAGCACACTTGTAAAATTGTGCTAAAGCAATCTGTAGTGTTGTTTCATCAAAATATTTTTTTATTTAAAAATGGCACGCAAGAATTCTCAGCATGTCATTCTCGCCTCTGACGTCAGGATTTCAATATGGCCGCAACCCAGAAGCTTTAATAATTCACTAATTTGTTACATAATTTTTCACAAAAATTCCATTGAAGTAAATTTTTTTCTATAAACACGATCACATAAAAAAAGTTCTTATTTGAAAACAATACATATTTCAATTTTTTTAGACTGTTCCCAATAATTGGTTGACGAAATGGAGGAAAGAAATATCGCAATCATCAGAGGACAATATTCCATTAAATTCAGATCAAAATAAAGATGGAAAAATAATTCAGCAAAGAATAGGAAATCTACCAACTAAATCTGATATTCATAAAGATAAATTCGAAGAATTGTCAAAATTATATAAACTACAAAATACGGATAACAAGGAAATTTCATCATAAATCTGATATTGGTACAAACCGTTTTCGTGGTTATTATATTTGTCCATCTTAATTTTTCTCTTTTCTTACAATTATTATTAACATTATAATACACATACTTGCTTTTGGAAAAAACATTTGTACACTGTGGGACTCAGACAAATCCGCTTAATCTTGATAAATCACCATTGCAAGATTGGGATATTAATAATGATGTTAAATCATCTAGTATAGTAGATCAAGTAAAACATGTAGCAGAATCAGCTTTATTACAAAGCGGTTTTGTTTACGAGGAAACATCAGGAATGTATTATGATTACAATACTGGATATTATTATGATACGGTATATATATTATATTATACTTAATATATAAATATTAAATTGTTATATATATATATATATATTATTTCTTTAGACATAGTATAATCTTTTTTAATATTACAATTTAAGTTGTATAATATATTTAATATCTTTATACTATTTAAAAAATCAAATAAATAAATCCGAATTATAAAAAAATTGAAGTATTACAAAATGATGATTTTTAACGTCTTCGTAATTTGTATTTTGTTGGCAATATTTTTTCTTTGTCAAATTTGTCAATAAGTGCTACAATACGCGATTTTCCATAAGAGAATCAATACTAACTTTAAACTTAAATCATTTCTAAACTATATAAAGAATTATGCTCAGGTTTTGCACAGATACTCAGAAGAAATACAGTATACAAAATTTTCATGCTTTTGTCAATGTTTTGACATATGACATACATCCTTAAGAAAATTTAATTTTATGTCACATGTGCTTATACACAAAAATACTTCAATAATAATTAACTTATTATCGCTGTCCGTAATATATACTAGAATGGCAAAACATCACGTACAGCTAATAAAACATTAATAAATTCATAATATTTCTCCGCAATTTTGATCCACAATTATGGATCTAGCATACATATATGCTAACCGATTGTTTTACCGTAGCACCGAAAAGTGAATCTGACCATGTAGTTCCGCCGGCTTTAAAATGCATCTAGTTGACGCTACTGTACCAGTTAGAAAAAGTATCTTATGAAAAACGGCGGCGTGACCCCTTTCAGGGGCTTCTCTATGATATTATTCTATAGAAAATCGGAACCGGAATTAAAAAGATACATATATATGTTCTTGGATGGATCTCTATCTCTTTTTATATTTGTCATCTCGACTAAAAACATTTCTCGTCAAATATTTAGCGATAAAAGCGATACAGCAAGGTATACAGAATGTTTTAATTTTATTTATCAATTTAAACAATAAAATTGGAAATGATTGTGAATAAATTTAGCGCTAAAAGTACTCCCCGAACGCAGCCTTTATATGGCTCTGTGCGTGACCAATCAGTCGCGTTTCTCTGGAAATAATAGACATGCAGTAGACGATGATTGGTTGTCTCTGACGCGTGTATTGTAGTGTACTATAATCTATAATGCATGCAAATAATGCCTGTCAGAAGTCAGATTACACATTGAAGATTGATCGCTCCGAGATTGTGCGGGACTTGACGGACTTGTCTATATCAATCATGATAATATTGTACATTCAGATTGCATATTGAATCAAATACAGTCGAATCCCTTGATACATCAAGTCGCGTCAATTTTGGGAGCGTATATCGCATCTAAATATTCATGAATCATGAGTGTTTAATAATTCGAGTAAAATGACAACTAAATTAATCTGACTGACCGGGCGTAATGTAATGTGCGACAGCTTTCACAGAGTTTCCAGTTTTGCTTTTAATTTAAATAATTCATCCGATGGATAGTGACACGCAACGTGACATTTCTATCGTAAAATATTTAACGAAACAATTTCTTTGCTGTACCGCGATAATTAAAATGAACTTTATGGTATACATCTTTATCGGCATCCTTTTTTACGACCTTTTTCAATTTTCTTAATTTTTCCTTTGCTTTTCCCTTCTTTGTTCTTCCCGCGTTGGAAGAATCGTTATTTTTGTCCGATAGCTCGTTCTTGTTTCTCGCTAGAAGACAAGTATATTAACTTTACAAATATTTACATTTTGCATTAATAAAACTATCATCTTGTTGCTTACCAGCAAATAAACCCATATGTTTATTTATGCTTTTATCTTCCTCCACCTCTCTTCGACGATCCATCTCCAAGCATTCGACAATTTCGTTCCGTCTCTCTACAATTTCTACTAATCTGCAATGCAAAAAAGAGCGTTATATACGTTTTTATGCCAGTAACTTTTGAATATTTTACATAAATTGAATATTTCTGGAATACCTTTGTATCAATGCTTCTTCTCTCTGTTTGTCAAAATCAGTTTTAGTAGCTTCTGGTTGGCACATGAGACATCGTATTTGATATTCCACTTCAGCATGTTCCTCCTCTAATCTTTGCTGCCTTCTTAATAACATTAATTCGGCCTGCCTCCTAAACAATTCGTTCTTTTCATTCACTAATGCAAACAATTCCAAAACCAATTCCTCCACATCCATGCCGAGCGATGACTCTATCAATTGAACAGATTAATCATCAGTTACGTCTTTATAATGACTTATATGACTATAATTATTCTTAAGCGTTTCTTACCTTCTGTTCTAGGTCCAGATTCGCATTTATCTCGTATTAATTGCTCCAATCGTACGCCTTGTCTCTCTAAACCTTGCTGTTGCAATTCTATTTCGTCTAATTCTAATTTTACATCTTTCATAGATATCACTTTGATCTGCAAGTAAAAAATCACATTGATATAAATCTCGAATCTTATCTATTTATACGCTTGAAACTTGTTCCTCGGAAATTGCATTGATATAACAAGCACATCGTACAGAGGAAAAAAATTAAAATTATACCTTTCTTCTGTGCGGAATTGGTCGCGGTGGGGCGGGACCCTTTTTCCTTTTCCATTTTCCTTGGACGCTTTTATCACTATAAGACATGTAGGAGGAACTGTCGGAGCACGAGATGCCGCTCAAGCTTTGCCTATTTCGATTCGCCTCGTCTTTGTTTGTTTTCTGATCTTCCCACATATTTAGACTGTGATCGTAGTCGCGAGGCTTGATTATGGGAGATTCGTCGAAACTTGGCGCGCTACCGATCGATACGTTACGGGGTGTGCTGGTCGGCATTGGCGGTGGAGGTGCCGGCTTGGTTTTCCGAGCTCGCGGCATCGTGCGAGGTGATAATGAGAGAGTCTTTATCACGAGAGAGAATAAAAGATAATGAAAAGCTCTTTTCCCTCCCGAGATTTATACATATATAGAATTAACTTTATTTCTATTAAAATAGAAATCGTAGGTAAAGAAATCGAGTTAAAAAATGAAATTATTTTAAAACATACATGATACGAGGATAGTGTATTGTTAGACTTGAGCACGGGCGATTCGCGCTGATCGGATGGAAACAGTTCCTTCGCGGCCGGCGGCTGCGGGGCGGGCTTTTTCTTCCTATACGTCCCGCTGGGAGTTGTAGTCGATTCGGAGCTAGTCAAAGAACTATTAGACGCGTACATGCTTCCACGATTCAAATCGGCTTTCCGCGATGCGACGTTTATCTCAGGGGTGGTCCTGTTCATACAATAGGAAAATTATCCACAATGTTATCATATTCACCGAAATAAGATATAAACATCTGCTAAAATAAGATACAACATACTTGATAGTCCGCGGTTTCGGTATAGGTACATTTCCTTGCGGCTCTGTACCTCGTCCCTCTTCATCGCTATCATGCTCTTCTTCCTCGTCACTCCAGAATGGATTGAGATTGATTTGCGGCGCAGCCAGAATCCGCTTGGTCACAGATGCTCCCGTTACGATTCCCCGATTTTCCAGTTTACTCCTAGCCGCTGGTTTCGGTGGTTCAAGTTCCTCGACGTCCTCCTCGTCTTCGCTATCGAACGGATTAGTCGACACTTTGCTGTTTCTAGAGTTATCTATCGTGGTCCGCTCTTTGCTTTCCGTAATGCTATCCTCTTCGTCGCTCTTGAAGGGATTCAAGTCTTCCGGATAATCTTTATGGTTGCTTAAGTCGATGCCTCTCGCGGTTAGTACGCTGCTTCCCACGATGTTCTCATAAGATTTTTCTATTTCATTATCCTCTCTTGATTCTATCTGTCCGAGACTCTCCTTTCTTCTCTCAATAATCTCAACTTTTGTGCTTTCTTCGAGCCGCGCATTATTGATAGTATGTTGTTCTTCGCTATTCGCTTGCGAAATGTCTTTCGAGAAACTTTCCTTGCATTTCTCGATACTTGTAATCGTCGAATCTTCATCCTTTCGTTGTTTGTCGATATTCTCAAAACTGTCTTTACGTTTATCGGTACTTTTAATCATCGAGTTTTCCTCGAGCCTCTTTTCCGAACATTCTTTCGAATTCACTCGAAGAACGTCCGGTTCCAGGTCCCAGGAATCGCCCTGAGCCACCGGACTTTTCACCTTGCCTTGATTCATCATTCTCTCGGTATAATCTATTTTATCCCGAGCTTCAAACATTTGGAGTCTCTTCTGTACCAAGGACAGTCTCGTTTCGGGATTGGCTCGTTCATTGGCACGACCTGGCGACTCTTTGGTATCTTTATCTTTTTTCTCCTTATCTACGTCATGGAATGAAATGGCAGTCGATTGTTGATCCTCGTCGCTTCTAATGTTTAAGCTATTTAACGCGCTATGTACATTGTATCGCTCGACGCTGGATTCCTCCGCATCTGGGGAATCCATCGTGGAGCTACGAGATTTTCCCTCCTCCTCCTCCTCTTCCTCCTCCTCTTCCTCCTCATTCTCGTCGTCGTCTGGGAATGCCGAGTCGATCCTGCTCTTCCCCTCGCGATAATCATCCTGCCGAGTCGATCCTGCTCTTCCCCTCCTCGCGATAATCCGAGTCGACCTCGACATCCTTTGTATTCGTGTCTCTCGCGGTGGACTCGTCGATCTTCTCAGAGAGAAGGTGGCCGGCCATGAAACTCTTGCGCATCTGCGATGTGTGGGAGATCAGATCGGGCACCATAGCCTTTTCCAGTAGATTCTGTACATCCTGCATACACAACAAGTTTATTTAATGCTTATTCCGAATGCAAAAAAGATTTTGTCAAAAAGAAAAAAAAAAGGATCACACCTTTCTCTCCGTTTTCTCCTCATCGCTAAGCGGCCTCGACGGTTCACTACTCCTCTCCTGTTCCGCGCCCGACATAATCGTCGATTCAGCGTACTTGCAACGCACGCTGGCGGGCAGTACCTCCTCGTCCGGACACGTCTCGCAGCAATACTGGCCCTCCTCGGTCTCGTAATAGTTGCCCGGCGTCAGCTGGTTGCCGCAGCGTGCACACCGGAAGCAGGTACGGTGATAAGGAGCGCGCGCTATCAGCAGCTTCTCCGCCAGGAAGACCGGCAGCCCGCACGCGGCGCACGGATCCCTCCGCATCCCCAGACGCGACCCCACCTGCGTTATCAGGACGAACACATATTGAGACACGTCGTCATTACATTACTTCCTTCATTTCGTTCTCCAGCGAGCATAGTCAGCGAATGAACAAAGTGCGACATGCGATTTTATGCAGGCAGCTATAACTCACCGTCACCATTATTTTTTTTTTTCACCGAGGTAATTGCTCTAAATTAGTCTGAATTAGTGCATCTTAGCGGAACGTTAGCGGAACAATTCTCGCAAAAATTCACGAGAGTTGAATCTTTAATCCTTTAAGGACAGCGGACGTATATATACATTTAGAGGTTTTTTCACAAAAGATGGAAAATAGATATATATAAGTTTTTAAGTTTAATCAATAAATATCGCTTTTTTTTACATTTTTCACTCATTTCCCTTCCAAAATTTGAAGTTTTCTGAGAATGGAATCAATTTGGTTACTTCGGAGTCCAATTAATCAGAGAAATTATCAATCAACATGAAATCAATTGGAACCGGAAGAACAAGTGCAGGAAAAAAGATCCGAAGAGACTTATCGATAGGCATTTCCCTTCTCTAATTCAATCTAACAATAAGCTTGACAAAAAAAAAAAAGAAGAAGATGTGCCATTTATAGCCAGTCAGTAAGAAAAAAAGAAAGGAAAATATCAGAATCAAAGTAAATGAATGTGTAGAATGTGATATTGGTCTCTGCTTAAAGAAATTTCATACTTTAACTCATCTTTAATCAAAACTATGTTTGTTTAAATAAATATCTTTTATGAATTTTGTAAAAGTTTGATTTTCAAAAAAAAAGAGAGAGAGAAAAGGAAAAAAAAAGGAAAAAAAGCCATCCTCAAAGGGTTAAGCGCCAAATGTCAGCGATATTATTACACACGCCGGAGATCGTTTCTTCTCGGTTGGAAGAGCGCGCGCGTATATAGCCGAAGATAAATATTGACAAATTGTAGGTCGCATTTGTAACGAGTCATTGGATATCGACGAGCACCTCGTCGTCGGCCTTTTGCCGTTCTAGCTTTCATACACCAGCCAGCCAGCGAATTTCCACAATACCGGTCGGTCATACATCTCCGAGGTATTATCGCGGTATGCATCCAACGTTCTCCGGTGAATCCAATAATAATGCATCGAATCGCTGCGGCGATTCTATACGTCCGGCGTGTATATCATCATACACGACTGTAATGTAACGAGGACGTCGCTTTGCAAGCGGGATACGAAAGCGGGAATGACGTCCGCGTTAAATCTTCGTTACGAGAAAATGAGATGCGCGTCGTTCGCAGAAACTGTACGACTGAAAGTAACGGATCGCGAACATTTATTCTTTTTCTTGAAATTTTCCTCGACATATCGATAGAAGAAGAATTCTTCATCCACTCGCGATCTACCACTGACATACGGCAATATGTTGAAAAGTTAGACGATTTTCCGGTATTACAGATGTTCAATCGAGCGTTTCACTCTTCGTCGGAAAAGTTAAAATTCTTTTGTGAAAGATCGAACCGAGAAAATTTCTACAGACGCGTAGAGAGATCGTCTCAAAGAGAATTCATTCGCCGATTATTTTTATCGCATATCGTATGTAAATGAGACGGTGTGTTGTGTGACCGAAAACTGATTTGATTAAAAACCGATGACTCATATAATCAACCTATCTCCGAGTTCCTTTCGTCGCATCACGCTTTTATAAGAGAGACCCTCTATGTACATATATATTAATCCTCCTCGCACGCGCTGAAAAATGGCATGGATGATAGGTTGCTAACCGCAAAATCGATTTCTATTAAACTTTCATCGAATACCACGTGCATGAGTTTTACATAGGCGGTTAAATAAAGCGGCGATCGATCACGGGTTGGTACAACAAAAAAAAATAAAGAATTCACTCTCTGTCTGTAAGATCTCTAAAACCCTAACGCAAATTCTCTCTTTATATAATCGAAATTATTATCACGTTTATTGCAAATATAACGTATTAATGAACGAGAGTTACAGTATCATTACTGCCATGTAGCTTGATTAATCGCGATTTAATTTAATCATATCAACGAAAACGCGCCGTATTTGTCGAGCTCTCGTTGTGATAGTGTTTCACATACGCAAGAGCACAAACATCGCTGACGTATCGATTTTCTTGAGGAATATTAAGCACGCGATTAATTAATCCGATCAGGCGATAAACGCGAAATATTACACGTAAGCGACGTCGCTTACGCATCGTATAAAAATAATCTGGACGCACTTTGTTTATCTTTGCGCTTGCGTGCGTCACTCTAAAATTTGGGAAACGCCATACAAATATCGCGAGATTGATCTCCTTAATCCGGGTCTCTGTCCGGAATTTTCAAAGAGAGAGAAAGAGAAAGAGAGAGAGAAAGAGAGAGAGAGAGAGAGATCGAAGACAGCGGGAATTTTCGTCGGACGTTTTCTCTTACCGTTCCTCGTAGTCTCTAGCCCCGGGAAACAGAATTACAGTCACGATTCGACTGTGTGGAACTGTAGAGAGGCTGCTGACCGCGCGTCCGATTTCTATTGCGTGAGCGAACGAGCGCGTGCGTGCGTACGTGCGTGCGTGCATGCATACGTCGTCGGGTACACGCAACGAGTGGCAATGACATATAAATAGAACGTCGCGCTTCGCCGAGTCTCCCCGCGCATGATTAATTATTACTTTCCTCGACGTTTACCGGGCTTTGTAATACACATACGATATAAACTTTAATATAAAGTAAACAAGGCAAACGTAACCGTTCGAGTATCAAACTCTCGCTTTAAATGCGAACGAAAGTCGGAGATTCAAGTTTATCTCTGTCTCTCTCTCTCTCTCTCTTGCTCGGTTCCGAAAAATGCCACAGAAGTGACGGATGTTCTCGGACGGCCGCTTCCGGGTGACGGAGTTTATTGGTTCAAGCTCGATCAACTACCTCTTCTATCGAAGGTACGACGCGAAGCGAGGCGAGACCGACAGGCGACGTGTCGTCTGGAAGAGTGCGAGACAGGAGGATTGATCGATCGTGTCCCCGGGTCGATTCTTTCAGCCGGGTATACATATAGCGATATAGACGTACAAGAGTATTTCACGTCGGCTGGGACACAATCGAGGCGAGTCGTCTGTCTATTTCGATAGTGTCCGGTCGCGACGGAATTTTCGCGTCGCGGCGATTCCGCAGCACCGTCGTAAATTCGTTTTCATTTACCCGGAAAAATATACCGCGTAGAATTATTCTTTCTTCGCGAACACATCCAAGAACTGGTAGACACGGCGAAGACTCGTGCCGTATTATCGTAAGAAATAAAAAAAATAAAAAAAATAAAAAAAAATGGACGGTGAATATAAAGATACGACGTTCGGTGTCGTTAGCCAGCATGACACGAGGGAATGTAACAATTTCTACGAGTAACAAGTAACAAGAGACATTCCCCGGCCATCACGTGCAAGAAACGAGCCTCAATGCCCGGATTAAAGTCGCAAACTTATTCTCTTCTTTTTCATTCGTCTTCTGTGAAAATCACAACCGCAGTTCTATTTTTACATTGTTGTTAACGGGAAAATGTTAAATAATCTGTCGTCTTTTTCAAACCACACACGCGTCGTGTTATCGAAAGGTCTATGCATACACCGGACAGCGTGTTCGAGACATGCGAGCATGCATCAGCTTACCCAACAACCACAAGCAAGCAAAACAATAACGACAAAGCGAAATTACCTTCTAGCAGAATATTTCAGGTTTATATTGCCCCATTAAGTCCAAGCTTTCCTCCTGGAGAACAAAAAGATACGATGAGAGGGGAAGGGGGAGAGATTAAACAATACGAGTTTCACAGCGCGAGGATTTCCGGGATTTGACTCGACTTGACGCGCAAATATTGTCTACAAATTATATTCGTTTTAATTCCCTCTCTTTCTTCTTTCTTTTTCTTTTTTTTCTTTTTACCTGATTTTGGATAATTCACCGAGCAGCTTTTACATAGAACTCGAGCTTTCGTTGATCTAACGCCAACCAAAATGGACGTCCGCCGTTGTATAAGCCTAACAAGTGTGTGTGTGTGTGTGTGGGTTCGCCGCGTGACTCACGCGTGGCGGCTTTAACTACAACCGGACGAACATTATGCGAACCATAATGAACAAAACTCGACCCACGCGCGAGCGTCCATCGTGTATCCGTTCTCGTTCCTCTTCGACTCGTAAAACGAGTTACTACCGACACATTCGTGAATGACGTCCCTTCTCGACGTTTTGACCTTTCGTCAATTTCGCGAATCAGCCTGAGTGACTAAGAACGCAGACCAGCAGCCTCAAGTTCTCGAGGCGAATAAAATGCGACACGCGTGTCCATCGAGTGTTCGATAACGAGCCGTGCCCGCGATAAAAAGTAATTAGTGCCGCCACGATATGCACGCGATATCTCAACCTACTATCGGAGCGTTATAATAATACGCGTGGACGTGGAAAACGACTTTGCTGGTCTTATTCATCGCGGGATTGTCGCAACTTTGTAACAGAATCTAATTTACACCATAAAAATTTTTTTTAAATTCAGACACCTTTTTGTTTGAATTTTCAGACCTGGGTATTTGAAAGAAATTTCAGACAATCTGTTTTAATCATTAGAGTCGTTTTTCTAAAAGTTCAGAAGAGTGTGTATGAAAATTCAGACAGCACTCTATCTAAAAATTCAAACAGTGTGTCTACAAAAAAAAAAAAAACAAAAAACTGCAGACACTTTGTCTGAAGTTACAGTCAATTTTTTTACAGTGTAACTTAGGTACGCGCGTGACTTCTGTTTCGAGTAATAATATATTTCAGGTTCCTTCGGTGGATTCCTGGTCGAGACGTGGGGAGCGATTGCACCCGCGAGTTGCTTGAAAATAATGTGGTTGGAGAAGACCGACGAGTTATCTACGGGATCTTGAAGAGATCCACGAGCAAACTAGTTTCGGAGCAATGTAACTTCGTGTTCACGACGTGCGCGAATCTATCCAGTCAGACGCTGACAAGTGTTGAAGGTATACACATATTCCGGGAGCGAATGGATAAGTATGTTGACGAAACTTTAACATTATAAAGAAAATTGGTCGAACGTTTTCTGACACTCCCGTCTTTTACCAGCAACTCGCCCGAATTTTTCGACGCGCATTGTATCTTTTCTCTCTCTCTCTCTCTCTCTCTCTCTCTTTCTCTCTCATGTACACGCTGTCATCGGTGAATACAAATGTTCTCTCGGCCGCTTATTTTAACAGGGTGTCTATTCAAATCTTGTAAAAATATTTTCTTAAAATTCCCTGATCTTTCAAATATTTTTGCTCAAATAAAGAAATTATTTTAAAGTATTTTTCGATGCAATTTTATTCAAAATAAAATTTTCTGTCGTATGAGTTTTCTAATTCTTTTCATTCATATACAAAGAAAAAACACAGAACCACTTAAGTTTCAAGTGGTAGATTTGTAAATGTACTGAAAAAAAACGCAGGATAGCTTTAGACAGATAAACATTTTTTACTTCCATAGTATTATTATTTTTTATCATTAAAAATTACAATAATGCATATTGCATGCTCAATATTTTCTTAATACATCGAATATATAAAAAAGACAAATATATATTCATAATATATTTTAAACACATAATTCACAATTTTGCTTATTGGCGGATTGTCATTCTCTCCTTTTGATAATTTAATTTTGTTCATAATACAAGAACAAAATTAAATTATCAAAAGGAGAATTTAAAAAAAAAATTTGTGAGTTCCAATAAAATTCCATGACAATTCTCTGATTTTTCCATGTTTTCCAGAGAGTAGACACTCTGATTAAGGACCCAGGTAGCAATAGCGCGGACGAGTACCTACCAGGAAGCGTCCGGGAATGGGATCACGAAGACGACGCGTAGTGACTGACAGAAGCGGTCATTGTCGGCCAGAAAATCACCGGCTAAATAGATCTCCGTGACAGATAACCGCGTGCACGCCAACCGCGCGTTTTCTCGCATCGGGGGTTTCGTTTCGCGATCATTCCCGGCAGTGTTTCTCCAAGTCATTTTGCTGCGACGCGGAAGAGTTATCGAAATAAATTTTATCGAACGAGAGTGTATAAGTTTCATCCCTATAACTAACGGCGACAGACGAAATAAACACGTGACAAACCTTGACATTGCACGAGGACAGATCTCACATGTTTTAATAAAAGTAACATATCTTCAAACATCGATGAGAGCATTTCGTAATTAATCATTCGCAGAAAGCACACACAAGCTACTGAAAGTGTACAACATATGTATGATATTCGTTTAAGGCAAACGTCACATTTGGTTTCACATTGCGTAACATCATATCCATTTATTGTTATTAATTTTATCAAACGTACATAAATTTAATGAATTTTGTGTAAATACAGATGTATAGAGATGACACAAAAATATAATCGATCGTTCGTGCGGGGTGCGCGCGCGCGCGTGTGTGTAACTAACGTGCGTACGAGCATCAGTCTATCTCGTCTCGCCTACGCACTCATCTTCGACCGGTCGCCAAGCGAGAGATAATGGAAAAAGGGCGAATATAAAAAAAAAAAAAAATAAATAAATAAAGGATGAGAAAAGGGGGACGACGCCTGTGCATCGATAATGCGCGCGTGATTACGCAAACGCAATGATGGCATTTGTTGTTGCAACCTGGGATGACACCCCGTGTCGAGGTAAACCGCGCACGAACGAGCGACGTATCGGAGTCTCTTCGTAATTATTTCTCTCGTCTTGCGAGAGAAGATCCAAGTACTCGAGTCTTTTATGCTCTACTTAAACCGTGCGTCTTCGCGATCTTTTTGCGAATGCGAGTCTGAAAATGAACGACAAAGTAATCTCACGATGATAATTGGATAGACGGAAAAAAAAAGAAAGAGAAAGAGGAAAAAAGAAGACGCTCGATTAACGCGTTTAATGTCGGAAACGTTATTGTTATAGGAAATGAAAGATACAACGCGAGATAAAGCGATTCACACGAATATATCTCTCGTATCTTGTATAAAGATGAATAAATGAATTTTAGAGCGTGACTCAACAACGTGTTACAAGATGATGGTTCTCCGCTTCTGAGAAAGCTTAAGGAAATTTTCAAGCCCGTGACAAAACTACCGCGTACAAAATTATATGACGTTTATACATATACTAAAAAAAAGGGGGGGGGGGAAGAGAGGGAGCCGGCAAAAGAAAGTCATGAGAAGCGTATCTGCCTCCGGTCGATTGATCGTATTATAATCATGGCGTACCTTTTGTTTAGGAGATTCCGGAACAGGGGCGATCCTCTCATCGGCGGTCTCCGTTGTTCTGTTCGTTGCCAGACGACTGGGCGAAGATCCTGCAACGAGACGCAATATATTCCATCAATAGCTTTACCCATTTATTTTCCTTTTTCATCGAAGGAACAACCTTCACGATGGGAAGAATAGTTAAAGTTTTACGGGAAGATGTATGTTTATTAAAATGTAAACAACGTCCTGCTTTCCTTTAAAAAGAGACTTAAGGCGGAAGCAATTCCCGGTTACCCGTTGTAGTTACATATCGATGAAAGACCGATATGGTTGATGGAACTTTCCTTCGTGGCGTGAATATTTATGCGCGAGAAGCTGAAGGTACCGCTATTGCGGGTCGGTATTAGTACCAGCGGAATGGAAACGGGAATACGTTTCTGTTTGAACAATAATATTGACTCTTTTGCAAGGCAGTACGAAGAAAAGTTGTCCAACTCATTCGCATAAAATCGTTTACTTATGTATCGTATGCGTCGCGATCAATCTGCGACCAATCCAAAGTGCAATATATATTCATCAAATACATTCATCTTTCTCGTGGCGTTTTTCCACGTTTGTAGCGTTTCTCTGCTATAAAGGAAAAATGGAAAATAACATAACTCGTAGGCTTCTCGAGGAAGTGTGCATTTATCCTTTCCTCATTACTGTGCGCGCGATACACCGTTAAGGATGATATCTGTACTGTGTAAAGTGCACACACACACACACACACACACACACACATACAGTTGACGGCACCCTCCGCACGATAAAGGTACCTCCACCTTCCACGCTTACTTGTACTAATGCGGGACAAGCGTCCACGAGACGCTATCTTTGGTCGGGAGACGATCGCGTCGACTCTATCTCGAGTGGCGCGGCCTAATGTAGCTATAAAAGCGGACAGGACGTCGACTACCGCGAGCAATGTGGCAATTTCCTCGTTGCAGGTAGTGATTTGAGAAACGGGATAGGTCCTCACGAACCGCGTTAATTTGCAGCCGTGCGGGCATTTACGGCGCAACCGTAAGGAAAAGGGTCTCGTGCCCCGCAAGATCGAGATTAACCGTCGTTCAAAGGTTAACGGGACGGTTAATCAATGGAGAATTCTATAAGATTATAGAAGCCGAGAGAACGCGGGTGGACTTTTAATAGATTAAAGGCTTCACCTTACGACGTGCATTGTAAAAAAAAATCTTACAAACTTCAGACAAAGTGTCTGCAGCTTTTTTGCAGACACATTCTTCTGAACTTTTAGAAAAAAACGATTCTGATGATTAAGACAAATTGTTTGAAATTTCTTTCAGACACTCAGATCTGAAAATTCAGACAAAAATGTGTCTGAATTTGTAGAAAATTGTTTACAGTGTATATTCGAAGTCAAATGATATCCTTGGCAAATGATACGCTTCCCATTTCGTAACTACGATTGAAAGAGAGGGATTGTGGTGAAAAAAGTAATCGCGCGTTATTAAATCGACGCTTTGCGTAACGAAACGCCGCCGGGTTTCAAAGCGAGAGCGCGAAGCCGGGAGCTAGAAATCGAAATAATTCACGCCACAATCTTCTTGACGCGGAGAAGGCGAGGAAAAGGAGAAAGGTTATATGTGAAACATTTGAATTTATTATTAGACTTTAACCATCAAAGAGTTTCATATCACAAACTACGAGGGAAGATTAAACCGCGTTAAAATCGCTCTAAAAAAACTTTAACGGAATTATCAATTTTATCGCACGGAGCGAAAAAAATTTACATTACCTTCAATAATTACGGTACAAATTAATGATATATAAATATGCGAAGAAACTAAATATCCTTTTGTCGCGTTCGTGCATTCGCGAGACGGGTTTGACGCCGCGTTTGATTCGAATGAAAATTTCGCAACAACGACGACGACGACACGTAATAATATTCGTTCAACAAGTGGTTGCAAACGATAACGCAAAGGGTCGATGCATCGTCGCTAGCGCGGTAGCTATTTTCCGATCGCGAGATGGGAGAATGGCGGAAAAGCCGCGGGAAAAGAATGCAAATCTTGCGACGTGCGCGGCTCAACAAGTGGCTACTCAAATTTTCAAAGCCAATCTCGCGGTCAGACAGGCAGTAATTGCGCTCCTGATAATCAGTGGTCTCTCCGACCGGGCGGATAAAAACAAGGAATTAAATAGAATGCCGTAGCGCATACAAGTTTTCTCTCGCTTTTTGCAAGACGCTATCTACGACGCCGCGTATCGGTCGTGCCAAGGAGAACTGGGTCATCGCGAATATATATTTAGATAGTATCAAGGAATTTTGAAAAGATAAACAAAAATGTATTAAGGGGAATTCCTGTTTGAATCTTCGAAAAATAAGTACACTTTCTAGATTATTTTGCAGCGCAACGATTTAATAAACAATTTTTTTCTTTTTTACAATATTAATACAATATTATTAAGAACTTAATAAAAAATATTCAGCTTAAATTTTTTTTTTTTTTTAAAGTTATGCGAATATTTACAGATATATATTTTCATGCACGGTGTGCATGAAAATGTTTTTCATATCTGAAATCAAAAACACGTTTTTTTAAATTAAATTTTATTAAATTTTTATTAATAGTCATCTGCTATCCAAGCGTTTTTTCAAAATTTTAAAAAATCATGCATACCATGCATGAAAATATAAATCTGCAAATATTCGCATAACTTTAAAAAAAAAATTTTATTTACGTTGGAAATTTTTATTTAAGTACTTAATAATATTGTATTAATATTGTAAAAAAATAAAAAGTTTTCATCAAATCATTGTGCCGCAAAAAAAATTTTTTAAATGTACTCATTTTTCGAAAGTTCAAACCAGTATGCCCCCTTAAAGAGAGAAAAGTTTATTTCAAATTCGTTCGGGAATTTAAATCTTTCTTGGCAATTTTTAAAACCATTTGTACTTCGCGTCTGGAAATTCACCTTGTCGAATGACAGACAACCGACCTTGCGCTTGTATAGAGCAACTTCCGCGACGAACGTCACTCGCGAGATATTAATCGAAGGGACAATTACAAGAGAGAGAGGGAGGGAGATATATAGATACATCGAAGAGAAAGCTAGGAAACCAATCGCTGACACGTGCCCGTTCGGCGTCACCTATTTGGCCTATTTAGTAACGGGTGAAATGTTAACGTGTTGCGACGTTTCGAAACGTCATACTCCTGTCAATCGAACTCGCCTGATTTCCGCCGGAAAACGAAACGTGATGTGTGTGCTGATAAACCGTACCTTTTTTCCCCCAGTTCTCGCGTTTCTCGGAATCGGAACGCGATGTCGTACACGTTAAAGAGAGAAAAACACGGCGCGAGAATTGCAAAGCTCGTTTAACAGGAAAATCTCATATGCATGATCATATATGTAAACCGAGAGATTTATACGAGATTTTTCTCTCACAGGCCGTCGAAATCACTGTAAAAAAAAAAAAAAAAACGGAGACTACAATATTTAAAATCGCCGTTATTCATCTCTTTTTTATCCTTTACTAAGCAGTATACCAATCTTCTTGCTATTCGTTCTTTTCCATGTATCCATCCCGCCAGCCACGTCCATATTTATTCGCTTCGAAGGCCACTCGATGATACGAATGTGTAAAAAGGATTCCTTGAATTAATCACACTGTCGGCTTCTCGTGAGCGCGAGAATCGCTTTTTTTCATTAAAGCAAGTATAAATAACCGGCACGATGCTGCTAACCGCTGAATATGTAACTCGCAAACGATATCACGCGGGTTAAGTGTGCTCGGTCTTTATTAAGGGAATATGCGAGACAATCGCGAAAAATTCGTCGCAATTATATCTCGCTTAAATAAAACCAAGATTGGCAACGGATGTGACGCTGAATGCTAAAGGGAAAGCGTGGGGTTTGAATATAAAAGAAAATGCTTTATAAAAACGATACTTCTGTTCGTAACTCCTACAACTTGTGAATAATCTAAAATGCAAGGTGGGCCGAAAAAGTTCAGTGAATGGAAAAAATCATGGTAAATTCCGGGTTTACCATCCCAGATTTTATCCAATGGAATAAATTGGCAACTATAAAAATAACTAATATGTAACTAACTAAAATAACTAAGATATATTTATATAACTTATGCAAAAGGATATTTTGTTTTAATTAATAAATCATACTAATCATTATATAGTTTAAAAAAGTCAATATAATAATATAATAATCAATATAATAATAAAATCTCTTTTAATTCAAATATGTGAAAGTTTTAAAACCAAAACTTTTCGAGGAGATATGAATGTTACTAAATTTTATATTAATTTTTAGTTTAATATGACAAATGCGTGTGTAATAATAACAGGATTTATAATGTTTATCAATATAAATATGATTTGCATTTACCATTCAACATCTTCCAACAAAAAACTAATTTATTCGCTACGTCGATACCTAATCCATTATGGTTTTTATATTTTATTTATATTATATTTTATTATTTGGATAAAGTTTAAATTAAAAAATACTCTCTCGATTGACAAAAATAAAGATAAAAAATTTTTCTACTTATTTATTTTAACATTTTTAATAGAAAAGACTAGTTTTTTCCGGAAAATACAGGTTTTTACCACTGGCACGGATTTTATCCCAAAAATGTGAAATTTTGCCAACCTTGTTAAAACGTGCATCACTTGTTATTTTAGTTGAAAAATAAATTAAAAAGTCGTGACGCACGAGCGGGCAGAAATCGTGAGAAATCAAAGTGCAATGTGTTCGAATACGATTGCAACGATCGTCAATGTTATTTGTCGCGTGTATTGGAATCGGTTTAGCGTGTCATTATATGCCGTACAACGGAATATACCGGAAATACGTAGGCGGCTCTATCGGATTGCGTCTTCGCAGCGCGGTAAATTTCCGCATGACTGAAAATGTCCCACGAATGTATAATTTATTTCGTACATTGGGCCAAGCGACCTGCCCCCTCATCCAGATAGACGATTCATTGAAACATACATTATTTATGAAAACGCGATGAAATTTTAATTCAGTGGAAATAATCAAACTTTTGATTATCTTCCCTCGTGTAAATTTTTTGCTACATTTCAGAGTTATTATAAATACAAGTTGATAACGTCAACGTTATTGATGTAAATAAGCGCTGACTTGTCGAGATGAAATCGCGATATTGCTGACAAAATTGTCAGCCAGCACATCCCAGGTATCTATTCAGATAGACTCAAAGGAGAAGGTGATTTAGGATCAAGTGTCCTGAAAAGAGGGCTTAAACATCGTTGAAAGAGCGTGGCTAGAAAAGTTAAAATCCGAGAATATAATATTTCGCTTTTATCGTGGCGGATTTTTCTGCGAATTTTTTTATAATCGATTATTCTATACATATATTAATTATAATCTGCCAAATACTTTTCTCTTTATAGCGTGCTGTCGATACACATACGTGCACACACACTTTTTCGAGACTGCCTACTACGAGTGTGCTCCACTTTTAGGCGAATCGATATGCATAAGCCGCATCGGTGCATATTGCTCGGCGGTTGAGGGTAATACTTGGAATTCTAGGTCGAAAGACGAGCATCTGTTCGACTGCTCGATTGATAACGCGATAACAACCCCCGCGGATGTTAAACCCCTTGTTGCGGTTTATGTGGAGCGTGAAATCGACACGTACCTCATCCCTCGCGAGCGCATGTGTGTATCATCTCGTGTGCATACATCTCGGGAAATTCTCGACTACGAAAAGGCGATTGTCGGAGGAAAATCGAAGCAACCCGAAATTCGAAGGGATATTTCAAAATTCACGGGATTATCCTCAGGTCGGCTGTTGATACACGGAAAAAGTATATCGTTCTCTCTCGCCAATATTTCTCTCCTCTAATAATCGCGATAACGCCCGACCGACTCGCGAGATAAATTCGGGATCTGATCGACGACGGACTACCATCGTCCCGGGGACGAGGTCACGAGATGAGTCAGACTTTCAGCGAAGAGACCGAGATGCCACACCCACCACTTTTATTCTCTCCTCCCTCTCGTATCTCTCTTTCTCCTTTCGCAGACGCAAAAAAGCCACGCGAGTTTGACTACGTCTGTCTTTCGGCTTATTGGCGATATTTCATCCGCGCCATTCGACGCGGCTAATCGCTGTATATCATCTCGCGAGAGAGAAAAACTTCTCCGCGAGATCTCCGTTCGGGGATCTAACGCGGATGAAACGTCATACACGTCGTATGTTAATTCGCGATGCAACCGAGCTGACAGTATCTGGCGGAAGATATGAAGAAAATTTCCAGTTGTGCAAATATTACGCTTTCGTGAATCGAACGACGGTGTCGCGAGCAAAAATTCAATTCGTATCCTTCTGTCGAATTAATGTAACCGCGTGAATTTCACTAAAGGCGCAGAAAGGTCTGCCCTTTGCCGCGCGATTCTCTCCTTCGATCGGTTCGAGGCACACCTGTCGGTTTCACTTTCACTCGTCCCAGAGATCTTCGAGATATTCTCTCACGTGATACTCTTCCGGGATACTCTTACGGCTCTTCTGCTCGGCTACTCGACGACAAAGGTCGCGAATCGACTGATCCGGCGATCTCTGTAATTTTCAATCGCATCTACTTTAATAAGGAGATAATCAAGACGCGTTACGCGGGCATCGAGCGTGAAATATTTCTCGAAAGTTGAATTGACTCGATTCGCTTCGGGAAGAAGAGAGAACGAAATGAGAGATGAAAAAGAAGAGAATTTTGTTTCAACGCAAGATAGTAAAAGAAAATTTCTCGCCGTTTTACTACCTCTCTGCCGTTACGTTCGAGTGGATTTTTGTCGGGCTAGTCGAGACAATAAGAAAAAGGAGAAATAAAGAATAGCCTCGCTACGATCCTTCCGTCCGCGATAAAAAGCGAATTCCCTTCGGCGTGAGACCTTGAGTCTTAAAGCGCCGATTATTCCGAAGGAAATTTTTGCATATTCAGATATCTATAATAAAATATCTTTTCTTACGGAAAAGAAAGTGTCGTTGCTTGTCCTAAAGAGATACTTTTTAAAAAGTGCAAATTTGCATATCATTTTAAATAATTATTTTGTGAATGACAGTCTCCATTCAATCATAGAAATATCGAGATAAATAAAGGCGTACATTTTCGTGGCTCAAACTGCGAAAAAAAATTTAATTCCACCTTTCTAATTCTACCAAGATACAATCGTCGAGTGAGAACAGGATAGAGACGATAGAAAGCCGGGACGAGGAAAGAGCTTTTTTTTTAAAACAACAAAGTAGAATTAGAACTCTCTTGTTTACGCGAACGAGAGTACGTTTCTCTTAAGAACGTTGCTTATTCCATAATAGAACATTTTCATCCGCGGTATGAGATTCGGGCAACGATCCAAGACTCCTTCGCGGTTCATCCTCTCAACATTTCACGTCTAAGATTATTGAAATACATATTAATCGCGTACGATTCTCCCATGTATTATTTCCCTTTCGAAGATTCTTTAAAAATATCCATCTACATGCCAAGAAATATATTCTACTCGCGTTGTTTATCCGCTCGCGTCAACGATGCCGAACACGATTGCAATAATTATCAGATGTTTACGATCTACCGGAGAGTATTTATTTGAACACCCGCCAAGAAAACTGAGATATCGTTAGTCTTCATGAATAATTGAAGACAAATAAATCTCCGCGATGTTGTCCATCCTTTTTATTCCTGGTTTATTGATTATGCGACGAAAAGAACGAAGTGTGCGGGGAAAAATAAAGACGAATATGCTCGTTAATTCTCGAATATTAAAAAATGGGATCTCACGATTATATTTATTAAACTTAAAATTATAAATTGTACTAAAAAATGAAGAAATCAGCGACATTGTCTCTCTCGCCAGTATAAAGAGAATATATTATATTCCAGGGTTAATTGGACCTTGTTATGCAATATGGAACTAGATTAAAATCTATAATTGTCGGCGTTGTGATTTTGAAGAAAAATAAAGTTTTTGAGGAGATTAGATAGCGCGAGGAAGAATATCTTTAAATGAAGATTGCACAAGTGCCGCTGGCCTCATATTGCACACATAACGCGACACAATTCCGATTGCGTTCCGTTATCACCTATAAAATACCGACGCACATCTCCTGTGTGATGGGTGCACAGGCTGCTGTTGCTTTATCGATCGTCAATTCACTGAACTTCTATTTTTAGAAGGACCTTCCTTCGTCGCCGAGCGACAGCGACGCGAAATCCTGGGATTACTACGAAGGGGACAATCCATCAGAGATATCTCGGAATTTCTGGATCTTTTGCATCTCCTCTTTGGGAGATCCTCAGAAATTCCCTATTTTAATAATTCTCCGCGAGAATACTGACGCGTATTTAAAGACTAAAGTCCTCGAATATCTTGATTTCTGAATATCCTTTTGCCTTTTTTTTTTTAAATATTCATTTATTAAATGATGAAAATGATTCCCAAACTCTTCGTGTCACACGAATCTTCTCGGCGAGTAATAGAGACAAACCGCCCGTAATTGAAACTAAATATGACCGAGCCGAAACGATGAGTCTCGGGTTCTCTGTTGCTTAATTTACGAGACAATCGACTTTAACGAGGACAATTTGTAGCCGCGCCAGGAATTGAGGATTAAGTCGCACTTTTAAGAGTGGGTATTGCGATTAGTGCCCAGGGAATCGCGTTACATATTACATATTACACAAAGTACCGTCATGAGTGTTCCCTCGTTTGATAAAACGGCGGAAAAATAGAATCTCGCATCATTATTATCCGCGTAATATCTTTCACCGTGTTACGAGAGACGGCGATTAAATACTCGCTATAGACTTACATGAGATCTGGCCGAAAGTGATGAATCATGGCGCAGAAGGCTAGCCCGTCTCTCCAGGAGGTGGTCATGTTTTGCACGTTTACACCCGGATAACCGTCGGTTATACGCCGGCACCAAAGCTCTAAGGCCTTCGTACCGCGTCTCTCGCCCATCGCGCTCGCAGCTTCCTTTTTCACTCTCTTGCACACGCAAGACTTCCTCAAACAATCTCTCCTTCACTTGGTCGATATCCTTTATATCGTCGACGCCACTCTTCGACGATATTAATTTGACTTCTGAAAAAGAGGAAAATTTCGCCTATTAATTTTATTTAATACGTAATATTATTCATTACATCGACAACATGATATTAGAATGTAAATTAAGTACAAAGTTCCAAGATCTACAACTAATGCTTGACTCGCGACTTAAATAGACGGTAGTATTTTCCCCGTATTATCCCTCGAGAAAATAGTTCGAAATATGTCACGGTTGTCGCGCGCGTGAACAACGTCAAAAGAGAGAGGAAGAGAAAACAGACAAAAAAAAAGGAGGGAAAAAACTGAGAATGTCACCGCAAATCGGCGGCGCTCTCGGGATGATGATGGTCGAGTGTGATCTCGTCGTAACGGGCTGCGCATAGCGCGGCGCTCTCGTATCAAGGGTGGGGGAGGGGAATGAAAGGGCAAACCGTAAATCGCAAACGCCGTTTGCGTTGACTATCTCGATTGACCAGAATGATGTTTTGCGTAACGTGAAAGCGGGAGGCTGAGCGCCAGCAGCCGAGGCAACGCGCCAATATTTCGATAGAGATTCAAGAACAACAATTTTTACATTATACGACAAAAAGAGTCAAAGAGATACAATCATGAAATATTTATCGGCTCGCGACGCTTCTCGCGATTTCGAATCGATCGATTGAACGTTTTTGCGAATAAGGGAACGAATGAGTGGCACGCGCGATCGATTTAGGGAGAGGAAACCCACTCTAATTTTCGCCCTTCTCATAAACTTCCGAATAACGAGAATCGATGAACGAGAAAACGGCAGGTGGCTTCTAAGAAATTCATCCGCGATCATCTCGATGCATAGGTTTATATAAGGGATCTTCTTCTCTCCCGATATAAATACGAAAGTAGATACATCTAACAAGGAGACACCACATACTCTGACCCACCGATCTTGATAAACATTTTTTTATGAATAGTTTTCATCTCCAATGAAGGTCCCTCGTAAAGCCATTCGAGGCGCTTCTCGGAATTTGCAGAGAAAAAATTCATAAAGTTTAACGCAATTATTATTATTGCTATTATAATTATTATTATTTAATTACTGCCATTATTTCTTCGTGAAAAAAAAAACATTTTAATGCAAATTATATTTATTTTTTAAACATTGTAAAAGATTAATATAATTTTTATAAAATAGAAGATGGATATAATATATAAATCATGCCGGATACGAGTAATGTAAAATCCCCGATCTTAAAAAATTAAAATTTTTTTCGATAATACTGTTCTTCGTGAGGCACGTACAGCGAGGATCAAGAAAACCGTTATATTATTTATTATGAAGGTATAAAATCAAATTTTGAAGGGTCTTCCGAAAGAAAGAAAACAGATATAAAAAGAAAGCCAATAGGAAATTTCTGTTCCTAAAATCCGATATCTTTGTTATAACTTGTCACAAATCTGCTATTAGTCGCTCACTGTTCTCGTGGCAAGACGTGTAAAAAAATTGTCACAAATCACTGAAATTGGACTCGACAGTAAGAATATTTATATTGCACGTATATTTGCGTTAAACTTTATAAATTTGTTTTCACATAAATTCCGAGAAGTGCATCGAATGGTTTTGCAAGGAAAGAATGTTTTTTCGAATCGCGGGGATGTTTTTTTTTTTTTTTTTTTTTTGAGCGCGGGAACGAGCGAATAAACGAACACCATTGTGTCTTCGCGCGGCTGCTCGTCTCCTTCGATAATGATCCCTCTTCGAGAAAACGGTAACAACGTTTTCGTTTCAACGAAACGTGGTAAAGCGCGACAGAAATTGATTTAGCGGCAATTAACATCCCAGCAGTATTTTTCTCGTGCCACCTTATCGTTAACGTCAGCCATAAAATCATCCAGGTGAGAACAAAGAGCGAATTATCTACGGGAGTCAGTCTAGGAAAATGAGATGCGAAAACAATTGGCGAAAACAATTGGAGTGAAAGTAAAAAACGCGAAATAAAAAGTGAAAATGGTTATTAAGCGAACGCTAAATAAATCGTAACCGGGATCGATATCAATCGCGAAACACTCGACAGGTAATAATATCTTTGCGCAATTTCACAACGAAATACGTACCGCAATACGTATAGTTTGCGAAAGATGATATCTACTTTATGGTCACAATGTAGCCGGTTGGTATAGAAGAGAAGAGAAATATCGAACGTGCCCGCGAGGCTGGGGCCCAAAGACACGACTCTCGATGTCGAAGAAGGGTTCGGCAGTCACAGCGAGTCATTTCCAAAGACATCGGCTGCCTTTGGCCGCTCGGCAAAAGTGAAGGTGCATCTAATGTGGCCCCTCGGGCGAGTCCCGAGAGAGAAAGAGAGAGAGAGAGAAAGAGGCCTCATGAAAGATTCATGCCGACGAGGAAGACGGCCCGCGGCGCTGCGAGACACTTGCGGTAACCTCCGCCACGGCGAGTTTCACGAGACGATTAGGACGTCCTCGATATTTTTACAGTTAGTCGCGTCGTGTCCTAGAAACGAGAAGCGCGACGACACAACCGCGGGTCACTTCCGACCGCGATTGCAATCCGATGATAACACCCTACGTGCCACGATCGACGGGCACGTAGCGCGAAATCCACGACTGACACGGCTCTAAAAATGGCTCGAATCGAAACGCGCCTCTGACGGAAACACGCGAGATTGACTTTTATATAATAAACGGGCGCTTCTTAATTCGCTCTACTTCTCGGACGTGTTCCCGTACATCGTTATGAGATTAAATCTCTGGAAGAACGAATCCTCGACGTTCCTCGAGTGTTTAACATCGTCGAGCGTTGTCCGCGGTTCTCCGTAAACCGCGCAGCAAAACAGAGAGCTTGGAAAGCTTTCGTTTCAATAGTCACTCCGCCGCATTGCAGTCTTGTGCGTGTATGTGTGACACTTGTCGTCGTCAGCTGACTTGACACGAAAGCGCGCGCGCGCGAAGGCACTCGCGAAACTGGCCTGCGGAAAAAGATGTCAAATGCGCAGACATTGCTTACATACTGATTTACTCTTTCCGAGATTCGTAGACTCTCTCTCTCTACTATCGAATTGTTTAAAAAAAAATTGTTAACGATATTTGAATTTTATTTTATTTATAGAAAGAGTCGCGGTCTAGATAGGACACGTTAAACGTCTGCGTTTATTAGGATCCGGCTTACACGCATGCCTAATTTGTCGAGAAACCAACGCGAAACGCTTAAGCGCAGTTAAGCATGCATGTATTGTGATGTTTATGCATTAATATTTCAACGTGCCCGTGATTAATCCCATGGACGCGGTCCTGTTCCTCGAGAGAAGCGCCAGGGGAGTCGCAGACTATTAGAAGGAATTGCGCGAAGAGAAGACTTTCGACCATCTGCCGCCATCTCCTTGTCGTTAACGTCTATTTACGTTGAATTACACGGCTAGAGAAACTGATATATAAATCTGCTCGATAAAACGCTCTAAAAAAAAAAAAAGAGGCGAATGTTTATCGACAAGTTTTCAACGTGTATGACGTTTGTGTAAAATATATAATAATTTAATTCTCGTTTAACTCCCTGACTTCCACTCACTCTATTTAATGTCGCGAATTTAAAATCCTCTTAATTTCTAAAAAGCTCGGTATCGAGGATCTCTCTCTCTCTCTCTCTCTGTCTCTCTGCGAATGCAGATCCTCAAGATTAAAAATGCACTCTGGCACGGTACTTGACTCACTGATAAACTCGCGTGTCCGTTTCCAGTAATTAAGGATCGCACTTTAACGAGCGCGCGCAATCGCGCCAATCGCAAAAAGTGGCTATCGCTCGAAAATATAGTTACAGAGAGGGAAAGAAAGAAAGAAAGAAAGATGGAGAAGAGCTCCACTTGAAGCCGGCTTTTGCGCGCAATCCGTAATATTTATTACCGTGTTGCGGCGCAAACTGAACGATAGCGGCGTGCAAATGTTACAACGAAATACGCGTCTCATTATCGCGAGAGCGCGACGTGGAAGAAGAAATCTCTCCCTCGTCCCAAGCTTATTTTACTCGCGTATAAAATCCGTGCTACATCCCAAAGTATAGTATTAGCGTCACCATTTAACATATCCATATTATATTAAATTAACACAAAAATTTGTGTGAATCGTTTGGGACATGCGATATATATTAAATTTAAGGCGAATTTTCCAAATGTGTAGAGATCGATATCGGGGAAGAAAAATTGATCGGAGAAACGCGGTTTCTCGCTGGGCGAGTTTCAACGAGTTTTAATAACCAAGGTCGACGTGGTAGATGAAGACCGCGGTTAAACCGCCCTCGTAAAGCTGAATAACGCGCGATCGTTAGATTTAACGATATGAATAACGTACCGTGAACGTAACGTAACGACGTACCGTGCGCGTACCGTAAATCCCGAAGCAACTTTATGACGAGCGTGCTTTTACGAAAGCGTAACGCGCGCCTTCGTCTACCATTTCTCTCTGCGAGACAGGATCGTATCTTTCCCTTCCCCGAATTGTGCAGGAGAGAATGGACCTTGATTCTGTCAAACGTGGCGACACGCATCCTCCATTGTTCGCCGAGATTGCATATACTTTTCTCCTCGTCGTATAAAAGAAAAGATTTTGTACTTTCTCGTGTATGTCTCTCGCGGACCAAAAGATCGAAAGGCTGGAAGGGATTCGTAAAAGAGAGAGAGAGAGAGAGAGACGGTGTAACCTTGCGACTCGGCCAAGGCGTACTCGCCGAAAAGAGCGAAGAGGTTCTCGAAGGGAGGTGAAGGGCCGAAATGATTGCGAGGGGCAATCGGGCACGTCGGTGGGAACGCCGGACTTTACCTTCCAGGAAGGTAATTTCAAGTTAGCGGGTAGGTGGTCACGCGATTGTGCGTCTTACACGTGGTGGAGGAGCCGCGGAGACGCCGGCGGAGCGAGCTCTCAAAGCGTACCGATCCTTCGCGTTGGGGCAGAGTTAAAGACTACCTGTCCGAAAGCGGCGTTGTCGAGAGTCTCCTTGAGTCGGGTTTGGTTCAAGAGCCCCGTCCCTTCCCTCTAAAGATCTATCCCCGTCGGTTCCGATGTTCCGAGTGGTTCCGCGGACCCCCGAGAAATGAGAATGTGTTGTTGTACGATATTATCGCGTAAAAACCGCAAAGTACAATCTGGATACTTGCTCGATTTCTTACTGATCGGCCGAGATTTTTTTTTTACCAAAAAATGAAATAAATCCGACATGTTGAAAATTTCAGCACCGTAACTAATCTAAACTAGGGTTGCACAAGACTAAAGATAAGACAATAAAAAATATTGTATTGGTATTGAAAATTTTCGGAAACTTAAATCTTGTCTTGGTCTTGAGTGTTGTCTCGATTTTATTAACAATTTTTATCTAATACTAAACAATTGTTTAAAATAATATTTAACAATATATAATCTTTATAATAATTTGAGATAATTATTACTATTTATGTCATTCGTTTACTGTGTAGTTAAATAATTGTGAAAAATTTTATATTGTTTATTGTATTGATTGTTTCTAAATTTGTCAATATAATATTTTTATTTATTAAATAAAATTTTTCAGGTCTACATAATATAATGATTTTTTCTCATCTAATTTACACACAAATATACATATTTCAGCTTTTTTTTTTTTTTAAATCATTAATCTTGACAAGACCAATAATCTTGATAATCTTAATCTTGTGGTATTGTCTTGATAACTAATTAAAAAATTTGTCTTGATCTTGACTCGAATTTCGAAACAAGACAATATCAAGACTAGTCTTGATATCTCGTGCAATTCTACTATAAACGCAAAACTTAGAGCGCGCTTCTGACTATTTGGCCGCCGTTTTTGGCCAAAATAATAGTAATATCCAAATTCTAGCTCGAAGATCTTTATTATCGCGGCCTCTTGTCCGTAAAAGGGACGATTTATCAACGGACGCTTTTAGAAGTGGTGACTCACGCGGTTTCACGCAGATACGCAAACCTGTCAGGTCGCTGCGACGGTAAACCGCAGGGAGCCCACCGGGGGCTCCGGGACGCGCCTTTTATCTCTCGTTTTCACCTGGCTCGGCCGGGATTTCCTCGTCCTTTTGCTCGCGCAAACGAGCCTTAGACGGGTTTTTAGCCGGCGTGACTCACCGTTTCTTCCTCTTCATCTCCGCTCCGATGCGCGTCCAACGAGATTCGACCGGTCACACCGTGAAAAAGCCACGATAAAGCGGCACGATAAAGACTGACCCCCCCCCCCGCTCCCCTTCTCTCCCCCTACGAGGGAAGGGGGTGTACTTAACTATGCGTTTCTTTGCACAAGCGCGCTTTTCTTAATCCGAAACCCATTGTAGATATGCGGCGTGTCTTCTCGTTACAAGAAAGATTTCTCGCTTCATTGAAGATCGCGAGTTATTCCCTTCTTCTCCCCCCGGTCTCTCTCTTCTCTCCTCCATTCCTTGAAATAGCGAGACTCGAGTCTTATCCGATACTAAATGTCAAAATAATTGTCTTTATAAAATCTCGCTCGCTCTTTCCAGACGAGCCAATTCGACGCAAGATTTACAAGACAGTTTTTCTGAGAAATCAAATCTGAGAGAACAAATCTGCGCTCCTGTTAAAATATAGCAATCGATCCAGAACATCTTTAGAGATATATTTTGAAAAATTGTGTCAACTTTAGAGGTAATTTAGAGATATATTTTACAACTTTAGAGATATATTTTAAAAAATGATGTCTGTTGAAAAATTGTGTAAGATAAAAAATTGCTACATTTTTCGTCGATCTCTAAATTATGTCGATGTCGAGAAAAGGAAAAAGAGAGATTGTTGCATCTTCCTCGCGGGATTTATCTCGCTAGAAACGCGCGAACGTCCAGATGGATGTCATCTCGCTGGTTTATTTGTCGCGAGACGAGGACGGCGACCTCGTTTGTTCGCAAGTAATCTTTTAGCTATAGAAACGACCGTAATACACTCCTTGGCATAGAGCACACACGTATGAATATGTATGATACATCCTAATGGAACAGAACCGATGCAGCGTCTCTGGTCTCTGCTCGATAAGATTTATTTCTCCGGAAAACCGATTACGCGCGTCGGAGTGGCTGCTAATGGATTTATCGAGGCGAGGGAAATTCTGCCAAAGGAATACACGAGAGAATATACATATATACAATACGAAAAGACGAATAACCCGAGGGATCTGTCTCTACGAACAACGTGAAGAAGCGACGCACTAACGAATAGACGTGGAAAAAAAAAACATGTTAACGACTCGTAAGCGAGAGAAGGAAACGGGCGTCGTAAAAGTGCGCCTATGTAGACAAAAAAAACAAGAAATAAGAACCGGTATATATAGTGGTTTCAAACACACACACACACACACACATATATATATACAAACGCAAGGTCGAGCATCCGAGCGCGTACATACACGAATACACGAAAGCCGAAACAATATTTCGACGGTGCGCCTCGTATCTTTTTTTTTTTTTTTTTTTTCTTTTTTTTTTTTTTTTTTCTTTTTGTTCCTCTTTCCCTCGCGTGCACCTACACGCGCAAGCAACGCACGCACACGAGCGTGAAGAAGCGAGGATACCGTGGGAACGAGTCCCGGCAGAACAGGTAGTAAGACAGCCCCGGCGTCTCTTCCAACCCGTATTCCCCAGCCCCAGAGTGCATCCATGCGTGTGTGCGTGTGAATAGTATCGACTTTCATTGAATTTTACGCATCTTTTTACCGCGCGCGATAATCACGATATTTCAGATTGGAATTTAGGGCTTAGAGAAGGACAGACGCGTGATATGAAATACAGGTGAGACGTGCGAGTTTTTTTCGCAATAATACGACATCGAAAAAACATGTAAACAAACAAAGTATCGTATGTAATCGCAAAGTCGGCAGAAATATCGCCTCATCGACACTCGATGTACTTGGTTACGAAAATGAATAAAATGAGAGCGTCAGGTAAAAGTTTATCGATTGCAAATTTAATTCCAATCCGCGCGAGGCACCTCCTCCTCCGTCCTTCTCGCCGCTCAACGAAAGTTACGCATTCGCGAGGTGATCCGTTACCTTACGTCACCGTACACACAGCCTGCCCGCTCTCTCCGCTCCTTTCTTCCGTCCCTGCTGCCCGTTGTCCACGACCGTGGCCGTTACGCCATTAAGGGGCTCGCACTGTCGGCGTGTTGTCTCCGCCACCAGCTGAAGATGAAATTGACAGCGGCGCGAACCGCGTGCACAGCTTGCTGGCTCGAATCGTCGCGCACGCGTGTCACGAGTGCACTACAAAACAGGCGACGTCCCCTAACCTCAATCTAACCGCTACTGCGCGATCGCGACGCGACAGGAGGATGAAACACGTTCTCTTATCCGTTACTGTATTCGAGCGTACACTGGGTTATCGCACTCTCGGAAGCGGCCGCGTTCGCCCCTTTTCGTTTATCGAGCGCGCGAAAGAACGTTCGGACGAAGATTTACCTTGTACTCGCGACGCGTCTGACATTCGCGTTTACGGCGCGCGCGCGGTGCTGCGACTGAGACGCCGCGCGCGGCGTGCTCGGTTTTACGCCGTCTCGCAGCCGCTGTCCTTGTCGCGCGCACGCGCAACTCGTTCTCTCTCTCTCTCTCTCGCGCGCGCGCCCGCTAGCCGCGACGAGTGCCCTGCCCGTTTGCGAGACGAACGGTAGAATAAGCGCTCTTGCGTCGAGATATACTCGAGACACTCATTTCTTTCGACGCTTGTGGGACTAGTAGTTCTATCAATGTGTTATTAAATAAAAATTATAAAATATAAAATTATATATAGTTATTTAAATTAATTTTTAAATTATATATAATTATATATATAATTATGTATTATATATAAATAAATATAATTGATTGTGAGTGTACTAAACCAAACACATTGTATATATATGAATATAGGCACCAATGTTAATCTATGGATGTTGCATTTAAATACATTCATGTCTTAAAACCGGATTCAGATTAAGCGAGCGTGAGAAAATATTAGTTCTATTAATTTTTAAAAAATTTTTTGTATCATTAATTGTATAACGTCACTGAAATTTGTTGGACATTATTAATTTCGATTTAATCTGAATTCAGTTTCATGGATTTCTCGCCCACATTGAATCGTTGAATTTTTAAATCTCGAAACTTTCCGTGTACAATTTCGATTTCGCGGAATCTTGATTCTCGGGAATATTTCACTATCAGTAAATCGGAAACCTCGGGCATCTGCATGACAATCTATATCTGCCTACCGGTGTCCGATGCACGATGAATACTCGTATTACGCGCGTTATTTTATGCAAAGATACGATGAGTACGTGTATGTGTAATACATACTTATTGCCTACCTTTCTCATATGGATGACGTAATACTTACGATATATGGAGCGAGAGAGAGAGAGACTCTCCGTTTCTTTCCCTTACATAAAAATGACGTTATAGCTTAGCGTTGCGAATTTTTGACCTGCCATTGAAACTTTTTTCAGCTGCTCCGGTCGAATTCCCACATCGGAGATGCTTTTGTGTTCGCATAAACTGGCAGAAACTTGTTGCGACGTCGGCCAGGTGCTGCGAATGTATAGCGCTTTTACACGCGAAAATAGAAAGAACGAGGGGGGTCCTTTACAAAGAATCGCACGAAAAGTTCCGATGAGCGATGAGCAAAAACCAGTTTCGGGGCGAGGATTTATTGTATTTAAATCACTTTCGCCATATCATCGATATACATTTGTAGCGAGCATGCGGGGGAGTCGAGCGTACAGCGAACACTTAATCTGATCCCTGCGATCTTGACCGCAATCATGATCTACCTCGCGTGATACCCGTTATCACGATGTCAAGCGTGGGTCGAACTAATCGTTGTAAAAATCTCTTAATAAGAATTCCGCGTTATCGATCGCGCACACGGACGGGGTCAATTTTAATAGATCCCTCGCGTTCCTTCGCACGAAATGATCGAAATCAGCTGATGCGTTTGACAGCCGCGTTGCTTACACGATCGACGGAAAATTCTCGCGTTATATTCTCGGATTAACAGTGTCGGCTTCGAAATATTATCGCAATAACCTTGCTCGGCTCCGATTCGTTGGCAGAAATCATTTGGTATCCTTCGGAACCATATCATCACGCGCGTGTCACCTTTCGCCTCGCGCGCATAAGGTGTCACGGCCTTCTACGATGCACCTTCGCGAATACGCTTGAAATTCGCACGATGAGCGAATCACGCTGTTAAATCAACCGGAAGACCTTCCATCCAGGTGGGATCGATAAAAGACCCTCTATGCCGCTCTAATTCCCGGCTATCGAGAGTTCTTCTCGGATTCTCGACGATTTCTTGGTTTTTCGCTATCCTCGTAGGAGATAGATAACCTTTGACGCGTGTCGAGGAACGGGCAAGATCGGATTTTCCTAATACGGACAACTTTGACTCTTTTCACAGAAAGAATGATTTTTTATTTCCCGTGATCATGTCTCGCGTGCAACGTGACCGTGATCAGCAACGTGTGTTAAGAGAGAGACTAAATCGAAACGAGGTCAATTAGCTTCTCGGACAGGATAACAAGGTTAACGTGAAACGTCGTTACCCGGAAATCCAGCGTGATTTATTGCACTGGGGAATAGTGTCTTTCGCGACGATAAACCGTGCGTTGTTTGTCACACGCGAGACGGAAGGAAAGCGACCGCGATCGGACACACGATGCGCAAAGTGGTTTTAAAAATTTCTCTACTGCTAAAGTAGAAAAACGACGGCGTATGAAGGGAGGGACACGAGAGATCGCCGCGTTTTCTCGGGAAAATAGGAGGCTCCGTCATGCATCGCGCCCCAGATTTCGACATAATACTTGGCATAGAAATTTTCCCAAGATTTTCCGTTATGCAGATACAGCATAGATTTCGATTAAAATTTAGAATGTTCAAAATTATCCCAAATAAGTATTTCATATTTTATGATATCGATTAGAAATTCGCTTTTTTTCGCAATTTTTTTCGCAAGTTATATTAGGTGAAATTGACATAATTTTATGGAATCGAACAAGAAATTCCATTTTTATACCAGCTATTGAATAAAATCTCAATAAAATAAGAAAAGTAATATTTGTTTACCGCTATATTATACGGCGTATCGACTTTCTCTCGCATTTAAATTTCCGCCACGGACTGGATATAAAGCCTGCAAAGCGCGGCTATTAATCGCAAGATAAAAAATTCTAGTATATATTCTTATTATCTTAAAAAAATCTTATTCTGTCTCTATAAAGAATTCAGAATATTGAAGTGATTTCTTGGCTCTATTTCAATCCGGAGCTTTAACGAAAATTAAATATCGACCAATGCTAATTGCGGACCGTAAATTGCTATCTGGAAAAAAAGTATTTAAAATATTCTACTTAATTTCGATATTGAATAAAACTCCGACAAGAATTTTGAAGAAAAAAAAAAACATGACAGAAAGCAAATTGGATTTGCTTCAGTTTCTCGCTTAGAATCGCTCGTTTCCGCGAAGATCTGAATCTTTATAAAATCTTTTTTAATCAATCCGGATCTTTTCCAATGAGAAATCTAACTAGATTCCATTTAGAGAAATTTGTTTATACAAAATACAATTTGATACTCGGTAAACAAACGACCGCCTATTGTCGGTCGCTTCGAATCAGTATACATGTCCGCGACGCTCGTAATTCGTTGCAATTGCTCAAATATCTCGTCCGTAATTTGTCCGTTTGTCGACGCTTATTATTAGGTTCGTGACCATTTAACCCCGTCGACAACTCGACGTTAATTACGTTCATTTCTGGATGGCTTCGCTGACGAATGCGTTCGTCGTAATCGTAGTTCTCTTCGAAATACATGTCTTATCTTTGATAAATTAACGAGAGAGAAAAAAAAGAACGCATAATATACGATACGTATTATTGGACCGTCCGTTATCGCGGAGTCTTTCGATTTTGTACGACCGGCATAAATCGATTATGTACGATACGTTCATGCTCAGATGTTCTAATTCCTACCTCCCATAGCTATTTCAGACGCTCTAACGATTCTCTGCTCGTTGCTCGGCATGTAGTTTCTGGTGCGCGTACCGTACAAATCTCGTATCAAGACCTATGTAAAATTTAGAGGAATCCAAATCACTCCCCGTGTAATCATCCGTATCAAACTTTCTCTTTTCACTTTTATAAAAAATGTCTAGAGCTGACTAAGTTTCTCGTACAAATAAAAAATTACTCTACTTATTACACTCTTGATAATTAATAAGAATTGCTGTTACACTCTTATATATTAGCTTAGAAAATATTAAGATCGTTCTCATCTCTCTATGATAACATTCGAAAGTGCGCAAGTATATTGAGAACATTAAAAAGTAATCGACGATAAAAGCAATTATCCAAGCAGATAACACGTTTCCAATTGATTATATTCATTAATATCCACAGTCAATCGATACGATTATTTAAATTATCCCGTATATAAGATATCACAAATCGCATCATTTTACAATGATAGATTTTTTTGATCAAACATACTCTTGACTTAAAAATCAATAATCAGTATTCAAATACTTCCTCATCTCTCGCAAATGATTTCTCTTTCCTTTATCTTGACACTTCTCAAAAATAAAATATTCGAAAACATATCATAAATAGAAAGGAATCACTGAGCGAAAGTCGACTCGATTAAATTTGCAAACAAATTGTAATTTGTTCATATGCAGATCGTGCATTCGCATGGAGAAAAGATCATATATTTTTTGTTTATGTTATATGTTCGTACGCGTCAAAAAATATGGTGCTAGATAAATAAAATTAATTCATGTGGAATAATTTACCGAGAGTTCGACGGGGAAATTCTGCTTCTTTATTAATGACTAAGCTTTACTTCTAAAATGCTATGATAATCTAATTTTAAATTCTGCGAAGACTCAAGCTATCAATTTATATTCGAACATCCATTTATACGTCAATTCAATAAATTTCAATCCAACATCGTGGACAACGTTCAAAGTCGTGTATCTCTCTAAAAGTAATTTATTACGAGCACATTTTTGGAGGAAAAAGCAGACAAATGAAAAAATATATACATACAATACTATATCAATTAAGGTTGAGCAAATATCTTCTATTTATAGTTTTAAAGCTTTCACTTGTACCGTTCTATCAATGCACCTGTAATATTCCTCTTTGGAGAAACACGACATTCATGTTCTATTTACATTATTCTGTGTTATCGCACAAGCATCGATTAATTGAAAGCGGATCTCAAGAGAATCCACTTTGTTGGTCTAGTCTATCTTGTATAGTGTCGTTCAATCTCGTTTACTTTTCCTGATCTACAGGTAAATTGAATTTAGCGCGACAACCTTGACCAGGAAGATCAGGGTCAATATTGATCAATTATAATATAGTAGTTTTACTATGTAATCGCATTAAATTTTACGAAAGATCAATTTGATACAACATCGCCATCCAAGAATCGCGATGATCGCACAATCAAGGAATTCAGGACAAACTTCTATAGCCTCTTGCTAGAACATG